CTCCCTCCCGCGTCAGCGTCTCTGCCACCTGGCGCGTCTTGGTTGGTCGGGGCTACTGACCGGATAGTTGATGTGGCACAATTTTTCTAAATTGCGTTTTGACCCCTTGGTTTCTAATTTTTCTTTCAAAAATACCCCCAGAACCCAAATTTTTACCCTTTTTTTTTTCAAAATTATTTTCAATTAAATCCCTAAACAATTTTTACCCTTTTTTTATTATTATTATTTTCATTAAAATAAATTCAATTCAATTAATACATATTTATATTTATATAGAATTAATAAAAAATAAAATAATAAAAATAGTTGGGGGTTACATTAATATTACAATTACATTGATTCATATTATTATAGAAATATCTTCAATTTAAGATTTTATTGTTCTGTATTACTGACTTATATCCAATCTAGCATTTCATGCTAGGACCAGCATGCGTAATTGATTTTCACTTTGTTTGAGAAGTGATGGTCTCAAAAAATGAGTTTATATTAAATTATTTCTTAGACATATTCATCAAACTGTTGCCAAAAGCGAATTTTAAAAAATTTTAATGACGAACTTCAGCTACCTTCAAGGTCATAAGTTATTAAGGTATACGTAATATGTAGAAAAAAGACTCAAATAAGTTTTAGCCTAAAAGCCCTAACAAAAGATTGTAAAATCTACTTTTAGAATCACCGAGCTTTTTTATATTTACATTTTTGACTAAATTTTTTATATTTAATTTAAAACAAGATCTAATTTATATCTTGTTCACTCGGTTTTCAAGTCTCATTTAAATCAATTTGTTATTTGACTTTAATTCATTGTACAATGACAATCGTACTTTTTGTCGAAAACAAATTAAGTTTTATCAATGGTTTCATTCCGAAGCGGAGCTATATAAATATATATCTATTAAACATTTGGACAAGGAAACTAATATTCTGATTTATTGATTGTTGAATTCAATGTCAAAAGGAGATCTCAGCTAGCATTTTTTTTTTGGATTCTGCCCTAGAAATTTGGAAGGATCTCCATGCTAGATTTCAACAAAGTAATAGTCAGATGATTTTTAGCTCAGCTACAACTAAATTAATCATACTCAGAGACCAAATTCCATGAGTTTACTAAGCTCAAAGCTTTAATGAAAGAATTAAACAATTTTAGACCATCTTGTTCTTACAATCGATGTACTTCGGAGGAGGCACGAATGAGTTCAATGTGTATTTTCAAATGGAATATATTATGTGCTCTTTAATGGGATTGAATGAGTCATTCTCCTATGTTAGACATGAATGACTACTAGTGGACCTTATTCCCCTCAATCAATAAAGTTTTTTCCTTGGTATCCCAAGAAGAAAGGTGGAAAATTGTTACTCCTAAAATACTTTATCCCAGAATTGGAGATATTGGTTTCATGGCGAAAGATGTAAATGAGAAAGAACGAAACAAGTTGAAATTTTCACAGCAAAACATACACAGTAATTTGCAAGGGCATATTATAGACAAATATTATAAGTTACATGGCTAACCCCCTAAATACAAGCAAAACCAGAAGTTTCGAGGATATTCTCAAAATGTTTCTCTGAATCAAGTCTTGATATCTTCAACTACTATTTGTTTCCAATAACTACTATGTTGCTAAGTTCTCTTTCGATTTAATACATTGTGACATTTAGAGACCATTTTATGTAAAGGCAGATTAACATGATCATCCACATTTCTTTACCATTATAAACGATTGTACCCATTTTACATGACTTTTTCTACTTAAAAACTAATCTGATGTTACCTCAATTCTTCCTTATTTCTTTAATCTAGTTGAGACACAATTTGGTTCAAAAGTTAAAAGTTTTAAAATCAGATAATACAAAAGAATTTGAGTTTACTGAATTTTTGAATAACGAAGGAGTTTTTCATCAATGTTTATGTGCCAATACACCTCAAGAGAGTTCTCTTGTTGGGAGGAAATATTAACACTTGCTTAATGTAGAAAGAGCTTTTTCCTTTCAATCTAGAGTACCTATTTCTCTCTAGAATGGGATGTATTCTCGCAGCTACCTATCTGATCAATGAAAATCCATCCTTATTATTGTCCAACAAATCTCCTTTTGAGCTATTGTATCAGAAGCCTATTAAATATAATAAAATTTCAAGTATTTAATTGTCTATCCTTTGCTACTGTCCTATCTGAGCATTAAATAAAATTTGATCCTAGTGAAAAATGTTGTGTGTTCATTGGATACCCAACTTGAGTAAAAAAATTTGTCACAGGATGTAGTCTTCCATGAGAAGGTATTTCCTTTCACATACTTCATCATATTCTGGAGCTCAATCCTTTTGCAGATTTAGTTTTGGCTTTTATCATCACAGACATTCCTTATGTTGATAATGGAACATCTGTTTTCTCCTGGACTTCTACCTAGTGAAGCTGGTGATGATCTACCTCCGGCTTTAACTAGTTTACCTGGTCCAACTTCAAATGGTATTGCTTGATTTTCCATTTTTTACTCCATTTTAACATGTTTGGTTCCAGTTCAAATGCTACCAAGGTTGTTTTTTCCTCTTCCTCATCAGACTATTAGCCTATCACAAAGCTCTAGTACTCGATATTTCTACTACAACAGAGCCACAATTTATAATCAACCAATATTGCGTCAGAAATGGTGTGATGCTATGAGTGATATATAGTTTGTTGTTCCACTGCCACCCAAAAATCATTCTATTAATTTCCATTGGGTTATAATGTTAAGTATTGATCGTATGGGACAATTTACAAGTACAAGCCCAGGCTGGTGGCCAAAGAGTGTACTCAAGAAGAGGGTATTGATCTTTTATATACCTTCTCTCCGGTGGCTAAACTGATCACTGTAAAAAGGTGTTACAGGCTCTAACTACTTCTCATCGATGGAATTTGGCTCAACTTGATGTCAACAATGTATTTTTAAACGATGATTTGTCTAAAGAGATCTATATGGATCTTTCTCTTTGTTATAGAGGAAAGGGAGAGTCTGGACAATAAAAAAATGATATTAAACTGATATGATTGTGGACTAAAACAGGCTTCAACATAATGGAATTTAAAAGTTACTCAAGCTCTCCTATGTTCTGGTTTTAAGTAGTTCAAATCTTATTCATCGTCTGTTTCATTTATGGCAGTGCTAGTGTATGTAGTAGATTATATAGCGACTAGTGTATGTAGTAGATTATATAGCGATTACGGGTCCTTCTCTTGATGTGATTAATTCAATGAACACTTTTCTTTCAGCACAGTTTAAGATGAAAAACTTGGAAAACCCAAATATTTCCTTGGTATTTAGATTGTCAGATCTTCAAAGGGTATAAGTTTATCCCAACGATCTTATACTCTTAACTTTCTTAAAAACACGAGATTTTCAGCTTCCAAGCATCTAGATTTACCAACCATGGATATTAAATTGTGCTTAATTGTACAAGATATTAGTCCAGCGCAAGGTCTTTTCTTTGCTGCAGATTCAACAGCAAAACTTCAAGCCTTCTAAGATGTAAGATGTAGAGCTTATGTACATTTCAAAAAATCCATGATCAATTTTTTTTGTTTTCTTGTCAATTCTCTAGTGTCTTGGAAAACCAAAAAGCAACAACAATCTCACATTCCTCTACAAAGGCAAAATATAGAGCTTTGGCAATAGTGGTAAGTGAGATAACTCAGCTTCAACAATTGTTGTGATTTTGGCATTAAACTAGATACTAAAACATTGTTTTTTGGTGACAACCAAGCGGCCACTCACATTGCCAGTAGTCTCATTTTTCATTAAGGAACAAAATGCATACAAATTGATTGTCACTTTGTCTCGTTCACTTAAACAAAGAAAGCATCAAGTTGTTCCGAATTGAATCTTAGCATCAACTGACCGATCTCTTCATGAAAGCTTTGGATTTCAAATTGTTCTATAAATTGTTGTCCAGAATTTCTGTAATTGATGTGCAGAAATATTAGAGCTAATTAATTTCATTAACTAATTTAACTAGATCCCTTTTATTCTTTTATTCTTTAAATTTGGGTTGTACATAATAAACTAAATAGTACTTGTAAAAAGCTTTATTTTTATCATTCCACTTGAATACACAAGAAATGTTTTACTTCTTCAACCTGTTTCCCATCTTTTTGCTTCCAATTCTAAAAGCTCACAATTGTAACAGTTGGACATAGAATAAAATCATCATAAGAATGTTTTAAATTGTAATGCAGAGCACCATGTCTCACCAATCTGACCATATGTTATACAAAAAGCTTACCCAGAAAGAGAACTGCTAAATTCATCCCAAATATTGGCCCTCCATCCTCAGTTGCTTACAGCTACCCAACGCAATCCGGTAAATTTCCGATGTACTTTCTCATCTCGAAAAGAGATATTAGTGAAAATAAATAAATATAGATCAATACAAAACAATCCTTCTGAATGTCAAATTTGGGGATAGATTATGAATATTACAGATATCCTTGAAAAAACATAACAATGATCACAAAGTACTCGTATGCAAAATCTTTTTCTACTGGGATTTTATCATGAATTTATCACCTGTCAACGAAAGGAAAGGAATGCAACATTTACCCAACTAATAATAGCCAAATTCTTAATGATCATAATCAAGCTAACTATCACACATGAACTTGGCAGATATAATGGATTAAAGCCGATTGAACAAGTACCAACAGACTCTTGTATCACAAATAGGACAAACCAAGAGAGGTGGCACAAGTGCACAAGAAAACAAATATAATAAACAAGTACAGATGGATGCATTACACCCGAAGGAACTGATAAAATTTTTCTTCAAAACATTCGTGTACGCTACCATTTGATTTCCCAAGATGAAAAGGAAAAGGGATTTAAGATTGTTGTGCTTTAATATACTTAAACAGCCTTTTAAGTTATTGTAACCTTCTAGAAACTCCAATCAACATCAAGAATCAGATTCATCCAACCTTGACTTCATCCTATACTGGCGACCAAAACTTCAGAAACCAGAAGTTTTAACTAACTGCAGCTTTCATTTTTCGATTATCTTCAGCTTGATCAACCTCAAAATCTTGGGAGCTTGCTGCATCACCACTGTTATCTACTTGTTTAATTTCACCTGCTTTTTTCTTTGGGATGAAAGTCACAGATTTCAGAACATCATCTGAAGGAATGTCCAGCTCTGTCCCTGAACTTGCAGACTTAGGCCCTTTAACAAGGGCAAGCAAATCCATAGGATCTCGGATGTTGGGTTTTTCATCAACTTCACTTGATTGCTCAAAGCTGTAACGCGTATACCTAGAAAGATTCAATAGATAATCCGGAACCCGGGATGCATTTTCCACGGGCAGAGATTCCTCATCCAAAACCATAGCATTCGCTGATATAGCACAAGGAGAGTATCTTTCAAACTTGTCTGCTGCCTCTTCGCCATTATTGTTGGAAACATGATCAAACCTAACACGTTTACATGGTATAGAATCTGCGTTACTGTCCTTCCTTTTCAATATGGATCTAAGTTCACCAACATCTTCAGAAGATTTTGCATGTGATATCTGACTTTTGGGCTTCAGATGCATCTTCTTTCAATCTAATCTTTGCAGCCATGTGATTAGCGCAAGGATCCCTAATGGTCCCATGCAACGAGTTTGAGAGGAAGCGAGCGATCCGAAAACTTTCTCCACGCGGACTTTGAAACTGTTCTCCAAGGATTCTTCGGAGGACGCCATGGCATTCCTTGCCCCGTCCATGTTTTCCCGTCGGCGTCTTGGGTTTTAAAAGGAGGCAAAACATGAACCGAGGCACCGCCTTCTGTCTGTTATTTCGTAAATTTGATACATATCATTTCTTTTTTTAAAAATATTTTATTTAAATATGAAGATATATAAAAATTATTTATTTTAATTTTTAATATAAAATTAATTTTTAAACATATTAAAATAAAATTAATATAATAATATAAATAATAATTATTTATCTATTTATTTATTTATTTTAAATATAAAAATAAAATATGAGTTTATAGTAATAAAATTAATGTCATATTCTAATTTTATTTAGTAAATATAAAATAATTAATTAAAAATAATAACAACATTAATAATAATGATCATTTGATAATATAAAGATGAAAAAAATTTATATTAAACTATAATTATAAGGAATATTATTATTATTATGATTATTATTAGAAGTAGTAGTAGTATTATTATTATTATCATATTTTTTTACCTCTTCTCATTTTTATTTTCATTTTAATGAAGAATTTGATGGGAAGGGGGAGGGGCAAAAGAAGGAAAGATTAAGCATAGACGAATGAAAAAGAAAAAAGAGGAAAATAAAGAGGGGAAAAATGAAAAGGGGAAAAGGAGAAACTGGAAGAACGGAAAGCCGAATTGGGCTATTTGCCTTTGTTTAGTATATATTTTCAAACTTCTACTGACATCAAAATTTGAAAGCGTACATACTCGCGGCCGAAGAAAATGAACCGATCTCCTCAAGATTGCAAAATTTTTTACTATTTGCGAAAAAAAAAAATGTTATACCAGATGCACTCAATAGAAATAATGTTAAAATATCAGTTTAGTTTATATTTAATGATTGATTACTTTTTGAGTTTTAAATTTAAAATCATTTAAGATATATCAAGTTTTTTTATGCTTATCTTTATGTAAAAAAATCGGGATAAATATGATATTTTATGTTAACATAAAAATTTGTTAAATATTACGCTGTAGTTAAAGTAAAAATATATATATATATTAAAAAAAAAATCAACAAAATCACAATTCCAGGGATCATGAGAAAAAACCCTTTTTACAATTCTAATTACGAATTAGAAAATTGGAGATTTCTTGAAAGAAAAAGTGTATGGAGATGTTAGTTAATTTTGTTGTATTTTATTTATTCCTATTCCCATTTTGTTATAATTTAATCTTTTTTTCCTTTCTTTTCATGTATTAA